AGGATTTTTTTGATGACACTTGTATATTCCAAGCAAGAGTAACCAATGAAGAAAAAAAAAATTAATTCTAGATCGGTTACTCTCGCGATGGCCATACCTAGGGATACTACAGCTAATGCCACCAACCTGTGAAAGAACAAACTCTAAAACAAGGTTAAAACAAAAAAAAAATATGTAATGAGGGTTTTTATATAGTCTATACTATTATTTCCAAAGTCAGAAATCCTATGTGTCGCCTCCAAAGCGATTTGCCTACGTGCCATTAAAAAAAATTATGTAGCGTTTTAATTAATTCTGATATGTAGTTCATTAATCATATTAATCCTACGAGTCAATACATGTGACATGGCTTTTTTCTGAATTATGGGCCAGCGAGTTTGTTGATGGGCCAGCGATTTTGTTCTCGGTCATAGCCACCGAATCTGTTAAATGGGCTACCCTGACCCCATTTAACATAGATACCCTAACCCCTCAAGCATTTATCCTACTATATATACCCGTATCGTCTACGTATTTTTTAACATACAACAACCGTCACCGTCTTCCTTTGCAAGAAAGATGTTGAACTATAGATAGTATGAAACTTAATAGACCTATAGCTACAAATATTATAAAAAGTATAATATCTTAAGAGACTTATATTGCTTAAGCCTCAATTAAAGTAAAGAGAGAGATTCCAGTCCAATTATATTGTTGCTGAAGATTAGATCAGAGGATTTTTTTGATGACACTTGTATATTCCAAGCAAGAGTAACCAATGCAGAAAAAAAAAATTCTAGATCGGTTACTCTCGCGATGGCCACACCTAGGGATACTACAGCTAATGCCACAACCTGTGAAAGAACAAACTCTAGAACAAGGTTAAGACAAACAAAAAACATGTAGTAAAGGTTTTTATATTGTTAATCAGGTGAAATTTTACAAAAAGCCAGCACGCCGTTGTGGAAGAAATGGTTTTTTTTTTTAACTCTGCAAGGGCATATGTTGGTGTCATCGTGATCTTAGCCATTTGATAGAATCCAACTAGACAAACACAAAAACTTTCAAGTGTGGGATAAGAATATAAAACAGAGCACATTCTCTTTATCTCTTCAATGTCTGAACTTTGATCTACACAATTTTATTAATGCTATCAAAGGTCAATTAACAGGTTGAGCTATGAATCTTGATGCAATCATTACAGATTGAGCTGTGAATCTGTAGTGTTTGAGGCTGGTATTGGTGAGACCAGAAGCAAAGGTCATGACAGCTTTAAAAGAGAAGAGAGAGGAGTACGATGTTGTCTTTGATGTAGGAGACATTGGAAGTAACTAGTGAGACTTTAAGAAAACTAGAAGTATTCAAGCAACAGAATGGGAATCAATAATTTTTTATAAAAGTATTTTGGATACTTTGGTGGATCCCATATATATTTCGTGATTTTGAAATAGTTTGGCTGAGAATTGTGACATGGGAAGGGCTCTCCTTTTAGAAGATGTCTCTCTGTAGGGTATTTTAGAAGGACCATTTTTATTAAAGCCAATTTAAAGTAGACTTGGATCTTTGGAAAGTTACATTTATTCCAAGAGATTTAATCATATGTGTTGGATTGGATCTTGTTATCTCTTATGACATTGTATTATCACTGAGGGTCTTATACACTAACAAATACTAACTCAAACTGGAACTTGATGCAAATATATAAAAAGTGTTCAACTTCACCTGAAACAATTTAGTTTCATTTTGTTCGTATGAAGCTATAGGCTTATTTTAGAAAACGAAAGTTGCAGTATTTGTGACATAAATCACATTTTTGAGTTTCTTTAATTATTTTTTTTAATTGTCCACAATTATGAAAGAATCTGTTGTTTTCAGCAGCAAACAAAAACGGATATCATATTATGAGGGGGTAATTAGCGAACTTATGTAAGTATTAGTAAGTATGTGAAACACTTGTATCTACAAAATGGTCATTGCTTTGTGTCATTTCTTCGGCTACACTTACCTTTCCTGAAGCTAAAGAAGAAGAAGAACATAGTTAAGGTACATTTAGTTTTTTTTTTAATGTTACATGTGTAATCGCATGTGGTTTCTTTTTTTGATGCTGCTAAATTGCTTTCATTTTTTTAAGGTTTTCATGTTCTACTGTACAGTCTTCCTTAAACGTGGTTTCATTTTCTGACTATACATATATATTTGGATAGTCAGAATCGACTGAGCAATTTTTTTTTCTTGGCTGGAGTGTAGTCGTGTGTTTTCTAAAGCTTATATGTCTCCATTATTCAGAAATATCTTCTAATTAAGTTTGTTTGGAATTGTAAAGATGGTTGATGTTTGGATGGAAAAGCTAATTGATTTGTCTAATGGAAGAATAAAAGCTAATTGACTTTTTGGATGGAAGAATAAAAACATGGAAGGATAAAAAGTTGGGAAAGACAAAGATGATCATGAAGAAGAATAGAGAGGGAGAGGATTAGAAGAATAAAAACCGGTATAAGAAGACAAGAAAAATTGTAAGACCAAAAAAAATCGTAAGAAAAGAAGATGACGATGAAGGAAGATAAAGAAGAAGTCAAAGATGATGAAGTAAAAGAAAGATCGGAAGGTGAAGGAGAAGGTTATTAATCAGAAGAAGAAGAAGACAATAAAGAAGGAAAAGGAAGAAAATAGCCCGAAAGAATAATAAGGTGGAGAAGACAAAGACGAGGAATAAGTAAATTTGAAAGATATAGAAGGAATAAAAAAAGAAGAATCCAAATTAGATGAAGACGAAGTCGGAAAAGACAATATGATGAAGAAAACAAATAAAAACCCAGAAAAGTAATAAGAAGACAGATGAGACGAATACGTTGAAGTAGAAGAAGGAGAAGTAGAAGAAGAAGAAAGTTGGATAGAACACGAATTGGAAGAAGGATAAGACATGGAAAAATAAACACGGATGAAGAACAAGTACGAAAAAGATCAGAAGATGAAAAATAGGAAGTTGAAGAAGGTAAAGATGAAGAATGAGACAGAGAAAAACCATAAAGAAGTCATATAATATGAAGAAGGAGAAATAAGAAAAAGGAATAGAAACCAGAAAGAAAAAGAAGAAGAAACCAAAAAAAGATGAAGAAGTTAAATTCTATGAAAAAGATGAAGAAAAAAGGAAGTAGAAGAATACAACGGAAAAAGATGAAGAAAAAAAAAACAGAAAGAGAAATGAGAAGTAGTAGAAGGCAAATATCATTAAAAAAAAAGAAGCGAAAGACGATAGAAAAAAGAAAAAAAATGAGAAAGAACATAATTTAATGATTCTTTATTCTTAAATATTCTTATTCGGGAAAAAATATATAGGATAATAGTTTATATATATATATATAATATAATACTATAATGTAGTCTATATAATAATTATATTTTTAATGCAGTATTGTTTTCAAATTTAGATCTACAATTTAAATAAGTGATTTCGTACTTGTATAAGAACCAACAAGAAGGAGAGACAATTCTGGTAAAGCGGGAAGAGAGTTCTGACAATGAAGTCATTTGTAATTACAATGTGTGAGACAACAAAATATTATTTATTAAATTATCGAGCAACATGAATATAAATTCGTCAATGATACAACCACATATGAGAACACTGCGTACAATCATATGTAGATGAAGATAAAGATTGAGTGTGTGTAAAAAAAATTTCAGATAAGCAGTAAATTTTGTTGTTGCTGATGAACATGAAATATATTTGGTGTCTTATTAATAATGTTGGGAGAAAACATTTCATTTCAAATCAATAAGGACATTATGAGACAAATGAGTACTCGAAACTCTTGTAACTTTTTATGTTATTGTATAATATTGTTGATTTTTAACGAATGAATTAACTAACTTCAGAATCGAAATGAAACTTGATGAGAAGAATAATTATCTATTGGTATTTGGACAATATCTACAGAAAAACCTAATTAAAAATAATAATTAGAAAAAGAAGTTGGAGAAGAAAACCAGTACATAGAAGATGAAGTGAAAGATAATAATATTCATGATTAGAATCTTCTTCTTAATATGCCGCCCAATAGATTATTTGGGTCATTGATAAGTATAAAGTTTTTTTTAACTATGAAGATAATGATATTTCTGATCAAAATCTTCTTTTCGATGTGTCACCCAATGGATCATTCCCTCAAACAGAGTTTCTTCACATGACATGAAAAAAAAGGAAGTTTCTCAAAATTATATTTAACAATGTTTGACTTCTACAAATTTTATAATCAGTTTTGTATACATTGTATATCCGCACTTGGCGCAAATTTTGTAAGAAGTAAGAACCAAAAAATTTCGATGGGGCAAAGGGTGGGCGCGGAGCAGATATTCTGGATTTTGGAGATATCTGTTCCGCTCCGTCCGGATCATTATTTTTCTGATCTATATCCAGTTTTGTTATTATCCGGATATCCACTTTTTGGATATCCACCAAAAATCCGAACATTTTCTGGATATTCGATTCGTTCCATAAAAATATTTAAATAATATATTTAAAATAAAAATAAAAAAAAATCAAAAATTAGCCAAAAATGACAACAGTTTCTTAAAAAAGTATTTTTTTCTTAACTTATTAAGTTTTAATATTTAGAATAATCAAATTTATAAACAAAAATTCATAAAATTACATCTATATATAATAATTATACAGTTTATATGAATTATTATCTATCTATCTATATATATATATACATATATACTTATACCGGAGCGGAGCAGATATATGTTTTAATTTTTTTTAGTATTTACGATTTACTCCATTTTTAACGAATATTGAATTTTAGTATTTGTTTAGCTCCATAAATTTACGGATATTCAGATTTTTTGGATTGAATCGAGACGAACAACGAATCGAAGCAAATCTAACAGATATTTTGCCCAGCCTTAGCAAATATTATTAGAACCAAGTTGGATCATATACTTCAATAAAAATGTTTTGACCATAATTGAATAAATGATTGGGCAACGGATTTTTTCAGCGTAAAATAAACGTAAAATAAAATTGTCTCCAATTCCAAATAGAGAATCAAAGGCTCTTAGGAATTACGATAGAGATTAAACCCCCATCAGAACACGAGATGTGTACACAGTTACAACTTACAACACACAAGAACTATCAAAAACTAATTATACATTACATTACCAATTGGATACATACATACACTAAATAATTTAACAAATAACTAACAAAACCTATACATTCAAAACCCCAAGAATGACACTCTAATTTCCCCGTGCTTTAGAAAGTTTTATCCTTTTCCCAAAAGAATATGGCTCTTCAGTTTTCAAATCAAGCCCAACACAACATACCACAAGAAATAACCAACGAATGAGCCAGAAACCACCTAAAGGGTATGTCTCCAGGTAGTTTAGCTCTTCCTGCGCAACCGAACCGTGTGTTGAAGAATCATATCGCGAGTCTCCCCAATAGTTTCTTTGGGGTCTCATCTCTCACAGATCTTCTGGTTACGCCTGCTCTCTCACACATTAGGATATCAATGTTAGGACATAAAGGTTTTTGTTCTGATATATTCTCGTGAAAGAAAAAAACAAAAGCTTCACCTATATAGGCAATCTTCTATAAGTTAGCCTCCTCTATGGAGAAGCGGAGATGCTGATCCCAATCCCGAGCCTGAGCCCGAGCCCGAGGATGATAACGGCCTTCTCATAAATGGATGGTTCAGCAGCTCAGCTGCAGTTGGGCGCTGTTCTGGGTTTACTTTGAGACATTTAAGAATGAAATCCCGAGCGTCTGCTGATAGAGACTCAGGTACTTCCGGAAGCTCACCCCGTCCGATCCTAAACAGGGCTTGAACCTGCGTGTTTCCACAAGTTCTAACTTTAACTCTTATTTACTCGAATAATCCAATAACAATAAAAAAAATTAACGATGAAATGTTGTTGAAGACCCTTTTTTGTTAATAGAAATAACATAATTTTCAACTGTACACAAGCACTGTAATGAGACCAAATATTATACTGGGCTAAATGATTTGTTAGTGTATTTTTCAAGAAAACCCAAAAAGTTTGTATATCTAAATAGTTGATCTGTTTTCTATCACGAAAGTTTGAAAATCTTGAAGACTTACGGGGTCTAAAGGGAAGTAAGGGATCTTGCCAGTCAACATTTCCAGAACAGTGCACCCTAGGCTCCATATATCAGCTAGATTTCCATACCCGTCACTACGCTTCCGGTCAATTACCTGATCAAGCCCAGATCACAACATAAGTGGAAAATAAATCTGAGCAGCAAATGTCACACATCAGTAACATATTTTAAAAAACGTTCCACATACAACATGTCTGTTGATGCATGATATCCTTGCTTATCATTGCATTCACATAATCAAAAGAACATGAAGGATAAGTGTGATAATCTCCCAAAATTATACCTCTGGAGCCATCCAGAATGGAGTTCCCTTGCAGGACTTAATATCGTTCAATTTTGACACCTAAATGACAAAGTGACACAGGTATCAACAATCCAGTAAGGGACAAAGCGATTTACGAGGTCATTACCCTGGACCAAGAAAACTATAAACATTTGGAATTGGAAAAGACCTTTGCCAATCCAAAATCTGCAAGTTTAACTACTCCAAGAGCGTCCACCAATATGTTTGCACATTTGATATCCCTTTTGTCGCATCAGATGAAAAAAGTAAGGAACCGAGGAAATGCAGAGGCTAAGGAGATACAAGAGAGTTTGTATAAAGACTGGAGAAAAGTATCTACTAGTCTTACCTGTGAATAAACTTTTTATCGTGGAGATATTTTAAACCATGAAGAATCTGTCTTGTGTACCCTGAGACTTGAGAGTCTAGGAGCTGGTATCGTTTGTAGAGCTTTAGAAGGGACCCTTGGGTTACAAGCTCAAGAAAGATATACAAGTTTGACTCGTCCTGCAAACAGGGAATTGCGTTATATTTTACGAGTTACTGACTGTGCAAAAGAAAAAAAAATGCTTAGGCAGCTGCAACTGAGAACAGGAAAGCCAGAGCCGGATCATACCTTGGCTGTGCCACGATATCGCACGATATTCGGATGCTGAAGCTGACTAAGTAGTGCAATTTCCTGTTATTGAAATTGTGGCAAAAAGAAATATTAGAAACCATATTGAGACAATTCTACTCTGGTAGTGAAATAAGCTGCAGATCATAGACAAAGTATATCTCACCCCCTCGAGTTGTTGTATGCATTCTTCTGCCTGACTTCCCTGTTCAAGTAATGAAACTTCCTTGACAGCAAAGAAGTCCCCATCTCTATATTTAACATAAACATCCATCAAAAAGCATTCAAAGAAAATCGCTTTGCACCTTATTTGTCAACGCACTAACTTAGCATCCCTTTTCAAAATCTTATCATACCCGATAATTCTTCCCAACTTAAGTCTATCTTCTCGAAATATAGAGGGGGCAACTAAGCATCTGGTTTCAAGCTCAACAGAAATTAGCAACCAGCAAGACTTACCCTGAAATACCTTCATACACGGAACCAAATGATCCTCGTCCCAGAAGCCCACCCTTCTGCCAAGACGTGATGATAGATCCGGACGAATAGATGGGCGAGGTATTAGATACTGTGCTAGAAGAGTCACCACCCTCGTTTGTAGTGAATGAGCATGCCTCGTCAGCTGTATCAGCCGAGTGGAGAAACCTCGCTTCCGTCCCTTCCTTTTCCACGGCTTCCTCTTCATCGCAACCATTGTGTGAAGAAGAAGAAGAAGAAGAAGAAGAGGAACTTGGCCGCTGAATTGTTTCACTCTCTGGAGGAGCAAAATGGTCAAGAAAATCCCAGGATGATCCCTGATGATCCATAGAAAGTCGTTTCATTGACGGAGGAGGTTTAAGTACCGGTGGTCTTATCCCCTTTATACCACCACCCCCAACAGCAGCAACAACATTATCGGGATTAGGGACAAGATACCCTCTCGACTTAACCAAAATGGTCGGTGTTCGCTCAATAACACGCTTTTTCTCTTCACCACCAACATCTACAGCCTTATCAGCTAAATTGCTAAAACTCCCAATCACGCTCGACTCGGAACGCGTCAACTCAGTATCATCCCGATCCGCTGAATTATCAGAAACAGCATCACTAGGGCCTGCTTCACTCGAATCATGGACCTGAAACTTGTGACTATCGAGCTCAAGAAACTTAAACCTATTAACAACATCTGAGGAAGAACGCTTCTTGCAAGCTTCTTCCCATGCGGCCGAAGAAATCGCCAAATCTTCAGGACCAGACAAACCAAGAGACCGATAAATCCGATCCATTTCTCCATCGCTTCCTCCGAAGACTCTGAAATCTGGGAGCTCCAGAGAGCGCGTCATCAGAGAAGTAGTCGAAACGGAAAGATCTTCAGCTGACGAGCTAGAAGAAGATGCTGCGTCATAATTGATGTACTTCGCTGCGTCTCGCCGCTCTAACCTCCGCATCGGAGTCTTATCCCCTGTCCTACCCGATGATTTCTTCATACGAGCTATGATTCTATCCATAGCTACCTAAATCCATACGCAAATTAACAAGTGTGAGTAACACGAAAACGGCACCTCTTACTTGAGAAGAATCGATTCGGAGCTTGTAGTTTTTTTTTCCCTGAAAATCTAGGAGGAAAGAAAACCGCGGGAGTGAAGACCGAAGATTGGGCAAAACCTGACGGCGAAGAGAGAGAGAATAAGAAATGTAAACAAAAACGCGGTGTTTCGTGGAATAATTGGGACGGAATCTCATTTCTGCGTTTTAATTTTTTTTTTTTTGGGAGCCATATCGGGTCCATTAGTCTCGTTTTTTTTTTTTTTTAACGCGTTAAGTTTTTGCTTATCTCTGGGCCTTCTACTATGCTGGGCTGTTTTAAATCTAAAAGAGGATCTCGAGGAAATCCAAAATGATGATGATAGTCGAAAACGAATATAGCACAGAAACTTAAAGAAGCACAAAATTTTATCCCGTGTATCTACACGGAAATTTTATCAATTTTTGTAATATAATTTATGTTTTCTTTGTAGATATAATTTTTTTAATAAGTGACAAATATTCATTTTTTGTCTATATATAATTTATATTTATTTTTTTTAGTATTTATTATGATCATAATCATTAAAACATAATTATAACCCGATTATTTTATTAATCGAAAAAGATAGTTATTATAAAAACTTAATTTTAACTTGTTTATTATATTAATTCCAAAAGAATTGTGGTTATAAAAACATAATTCTAACCCGTCTGTTTATATTACTATATAATATAAATATTTTTAAATTTTGAAATCATTTTTAGCTTAACATCTTGCATATTTTAATAGCTTAATCTGCATATAATCATAATTATTAAAAAAACATAATTCTTTCCATCAAATTATCATATATTATAAAAATATATATATCAATGTTTAATATGTAAAATTTTAGAGTGATTGATTATGATTAAAAAAATACAATAACATATTCGTTAACTATATGTGTTATTATGAAAGTATTATTTAAATTTCAAATTTTAAATTAAATCTAAACTATATTTAAAGAAGTTTAAAGTAATTTAACTTATATCTAACTTTTTTTATTTAAATTTAATTACAAGAAAATGTATTTTAAAAAGAAAATGAAGAAATTTTATATATATTTCGAATTAATTTTATATATAAAAGAAAATGTATTTTAAAAAAATATTGCAACAAAATAGGATTACTTTAAAACAGTTTTTAAATATTTTTGAGAGTATTTGGATGCAAACACTAAAAGTGATTCTGTTTTAGTATAATAGATATTAAAATGAAGAAATTTATTAAAACAAAAAAAAAGTCAAAAGACGTGGGGAAAGGAGAATAACAATAATTCAACATTCTTCTATGCACAAACAAAACAAAAACATGCAAGAAACCCAATTATTGAACTACACGACGAAGCATGGAGATGGATCTCAACAGAGAAAGATTTGAACAAGTGTATTTTAACCACATCTTCAGAATTTAATGAGGCTCTGGAAAAAATTCCCAATATGATTTCCGAGAAGAATGAACGGCTAACAGCTACACACCTACAACAAAGAAAGATGAGGTTCATTAGAGCATGTTTATTGCAGGTTCTTAAAAGGGGCTTATAGACTTTTATGGGCCCAAAATAAATAAAATAAAGAAAATAAGTAAAGAGTTTGTTTTTATTTTGGACCCTTCAGAACCGACTCTTAAGAGCCACGTGGCGTCTTTTTATTGGATAAAATTTGGTCAGCCAAATTTTGTGAATCCTCGACAAAATTTGAGTACAAATGTTCATGTTGTTTTGTGTTTTGGTCTTTTTTTTTTTGGTCAGAGACTCAAGTCATCACCAACAAGACGCTTCAGTTCTGCGATTCATAATCAGGACGAAATTGCTGCAATTCCAAAGATGATACTAAACTGCAGAATCGCTTCAACTACATGAACGTCTCTGGCTCAACTTGTTCTTCCCTTTTCTCCATTCTCTGTGCTGTAAGTCCCAACCAATTTCCTTTATTTTCCTTAATAAATCAACAAAATTGAGATTCCCATTATAAAAAGGATCGATCTTTCACTTCACTTAACCATTCGATTGAACTAAAGATTCTTAGAAGAATAGTATGATGAATTGTTTTGGAGCTACTGATTCTGAATCTCACCGTTCCCTTATTTCCCACAGAGATGTGACCAGTTCTCTAGACAATTGTTTAGTGATGAGACTTCTCCAATTCCAGTTCTCTGCAACTCAACTCAACTCAATTTTTTTTTCAAGAACCGCATGTGGGTTTCTTGCAATAAACTTGTTTTTAAGCAAGATTCTTAAGCAAGATTTTAAACTTAAATTTACTAATAAAATATTGGGTTAATCGGTAAAATGACAAATGAAACTTAAAAAATAAAGGAACTAAGAATGCGAAAATAAAATTGAAGGAAATACAATTGACGAATATTGATGTAGCCACTTTTGCCCCTATGACATGTATAGATAGGTTCTGCAGGTTCATTTAATGCACTGCGCATATAGGGGGACAAACAGATACAATTGATATCATGAGGAGATTTTCCGCCGCCCAGGCAGTTGATCTGGACTGTCTGTTATAGATGATAATATATAGTGATATTGTCGGTAAATCTTTTATCTCGGAAGACGTAAATAAAAATCTAAGGATTTACCTCTTTATATTAATGATGATAACAACGGTTGTCTGGAAACACATTTACAGAGAGAAAACGCAGAGATAATTCACTGAGTGTATTAACTGCAGCTGACCTACAGCTAAGAGTAATACCTATCTGGAATCAGTTAACGGTAACGGTTTTATACTTCATAAGCATTGATTGACAATGATTTTCATAACGATCTATGTCTTTGTATTTATGGTTTGATTAAGTAGTATTTATTGGTTATAAATCTCAGGCGATGGCGATGAGTGTGCTTTTGATTCGTGGGAAGTGGAAGAAAGGAGACGATGGAAAGTGGGATCATTTTCCTGATATGGTAACTGATAACTGTGTTATCAGCTTGAAAGAAAAAGATAACTTCAAAACCATTGAAGCAGCCGTTAAAAAGGCACTGCGTCTGCTTCCGGGAACAGAAGTTGAAATAACATACCAGTGGCCGCAGTGTATGCTTGGAGCAGAGGGAAGGCGAAACCATCCAATATACATTGTAGATGACGATGATGCAGCTTTGTTCATGGCTATTCGTGCAGACTTGGAAGATGTTGTCCTGCGAGTTCGAGTAATACCCCCAGGCACAGAGAAAAATGTTAACTCATTCACGACAACAGTTAATCTCGGGAGACAGAAGCCAGAGAGTGGGGGTAGTTCCAATCTTGGAGCAGAAGCATTCATGAGGAGCAGTGGTGTGTATGGGAAACACACTACTGTAATACAAGGTATACATAGTTGAAGTTGAAACTTTGATGACGTTGTAATTATGCTAATGTGAAGAATTGGTGGTGTGTAGGTACGTTGTGGGGAAATGAGATGGTGAAGCAGAAACCGGACAATGACAAACGAGATGGTGAGAAAACTATAATTGAAGTTGTCCTGTTAACTTAACATTTAACTTAAAATGTTGTTAACTGATAACTTAAATTGTTGTTAACTGATAACTGTGTTATCAATTAGGGAAAAGAATTGCTGAGGAAACTTCAACTAACCTTCTCCACAATGTAGATCGAATTGATTAGTAAAACTTATTGGGCCCGCTAGTACTGAAGATCACACTTAATTTACCTTTTGAGGGAAACAAATAAGAAGTAAAATTGTATTAACCAAGAAATATATTTTTGCTATTAGACAACGTGGTTGCGCAATTGATGGCTAATATAACCTCTGCTGGTTCGATAATTCGCACTGAAGCTGCGGCTGGAAAGAGTGTAATGGAAGAAATGGGTACGAGTATTCAGATATGTTGTTCGTTGTATATTATCTTAGCTTGTACTATAAGTTTGGAGGAGTGTTTAATTATGTAATTCTAATGCAGGTGAGGTAAACCAGCGAAGTGATCAAGGAACACTTGAACCGGATCCTCAAGGTTAGAAGATAATTATATGTTACCCGATAACATCAGCATCAAGATATCTTTGTTAACCGTTCCATTTGATCGAAGTGACAGTGATGAGCTATGTCAACTTACTGAACGATGGACCAAATTCTGATGACGGGTTTATGGGGAGTATAAATGCAAGGCAGTGGTTCATACTGAATGGAACAGACGCACATTGCTGCGAGTGGTCAACAATGCAGATTCTGGAATTGTGAACAGATACGGCCCTTCACTCGGCATGGAAACAGAGCGATCCGGTGAGGTGCCGAACCCTGCTTTAGAACCAATGGATACTTCGACGGGGTTTGGTATGCTCTTCAAGTACCTTATTTAAAAAGTTAATATCATAGATTTTAATAAACAACATACCAACAACAACTACGGCACACAGATATGAATTTGTTGGCGAATAGACCTATATTCTCCAATATCGAGGCAATGAAGAGTTGTGTGCGGGCCCCAAACAGTGTGTTAAGTACTTTGTTCTGTTTACCCCTCTAATACTTTTTAACCGCACCTTTGTTGTTGTGTTAACTAGTTTATACTCATGACAGTAGGGCAAAGTAAAAGGACTGCTAATCCTGTAGGGCCATGGGAAATGGACGCTCGTCAGCTTTGGCAATATTTTCAGGGAGGACTGAACAGGAAAACATTAGAAGAAAGTGCAGAAAGAGAGGCTGCGGACGTGATTACAAAGTTAGCTACTGATATGGTAAACAGCAATTTGCAGTTAACTTTGGCGGGTGCTTTTGTGACGCCAAATGTAGCACTATCACAGCTGCCAATACGTTCCCCAAATTCATCATCATCTTCAAATGGTTCGTTCAGCAGTAATGGGAGTTCTTCGAATGAAGTAATGGAAGAATGTGAATATGAAGACAACATCGCCATCTCTTTGATAGGTGGGTAATCTACTATTTGGTATAATCTATCTGTAACACAGTTATCAGATAAAATAATAAATAAGTGTTTGTTCTGGTGAAGGTGAAAATATGAGACCTCAAATTCTTGAAGGCGTTCCCATATCACGCCGCAATCAGGCTTTGATACTTGGAGGAGGAAGTGGTTCACGTAACCTAGTTGGTGTACAAGATAAGGGTAAAGGAGTAATGCGTGAGAGTAGAGAACATATTGTATCCACTGTTGCTGCTGCGAGGCCAATTATCCGTCTGGACACAGAACAGATCCCCGTAGCAGAGGTAAGGGTTACACCAGGCCACCAGCAATGTATGAACGGGATGCACCATCGTATTTTGATGACCCCATGGGCGAAGGTATACCAATTTTGTTTTTGCTACTTGTCCTCAATAAGTAAGTTAGACAATAATTCAGTTATACGTTAACTAACACGGTTATCAGCAGATGCAATGGTACGGGCACTGCACGACATTCACTACGAGGGAGATGAGCTGTTTGTTGGCCGGGTCTTCAAGAACAAAGAAGACTGCAAACTTAAGCTACATATACATGCCATCAATAACAAGTTTTCGTTCAAGTATAATAAGTCTTGCCCCAACGTTGTCATTGTAATTTGCGTTGGAGAAACGTGCCCTTGGAGAGTTTATGCAGCAAAAATGGAAGGCAGCACTAGGTATGAGATAAGGACGGTGAGACTCGAGCATACGTGCAGTGTTGATGTCTGAGGAAACTTTCATCGTAATGCAACAAGCTCAGTCATTGGGGACCTGATGAGAGCAAAATATGGTGTTGAAGGCAGGGGTCCCCGTGCGTTTGAATTGCGACGCCTATGCCGTCAAGAACTCAGTCTCCGCGTAAGCTATTGGAAGGCTTGGAGGGCACGGGAGATTGCAATGGATTGATCATTGGGTTCGGCGATGGGAAGTTATGCATTAGTGCCAACCTACTTCAAGCTGCTTCTACAATCAAACCCGAACTCTATGGTCGGACTTAAAACAGAGACGGATGCAGCGGGGATTGAGCGGTTTAAGTATTTGTTTTTCTCCCTTAATGCTTGCGCAAAAGGATATGAATACATGAGAATGGTTATCGTTATCGACGGTACCCACCTACGTAACAGATATGGAGGATGTCTTGTAGCAGCTAGTGCCAAAGATGGGAACTTCCAAGTGTTTTCCCTTGGGTTTGCAGTCGTGGATAGTGAAAACGACACAGCATGGGAGTGGTTCCTTAGAAAGCTCCTTGAAATAGTGCCAGACGAACCTGGTTTAGTGTTTGTTTCAGATAGGCATTCTTCAATCTACGCAGCTATATGGAAGGTAAGTCTAGGTTAATATAGTTACTTCCTAACCGTTTTATCATGCTATTCCATTTATATACTCTGAGTTATCGTGATAACAAAATGCTAGATATAAGTGGAGTTCATTCTGATATTAGATATTAACGCTGAGCCTTAACCACAACTGTGTAGGTTTAATATAGTTACTTCCTAACCGTGTTATCATGCTATTCCATTTATAGACTCTGTGTTATCGTGATAACAAAATGCTAGATATGAGTGGAGTTCATTCTGATATTAGATATTAACGCTGAGCCTTAACCACAACTGTGTAGGTATATCCGATGTCTTCTCACGCCGCATGCATTGTGCACCTCCAAAGAAATGTGGTGACCAATTTCAAACCTGACATGCCAAGCCATTTGACATCCCAAGCTGGACGTGCGTATCGTTTAAGCGAGTTCGCCCGGGTGTTTGAGGAGATTAGAACCATAGACTCATCATGCGCAGAGTATTTAGAGAGGATCGGCTTCGAGCATTGGACACACTCCCATTTCGTTGGAGAAAGATATAACATCATGACTAGCAATATCTCGGAGTCTCTTAACAATGTTCTGACTATGGCACGAGATTTCCCAGTTATCTCAATCCTAGATACCATTCGTACAACACTAGTGTCCTGGTTTGCACTTCTACGAGATGCAGCTAATAAGGATGATGATGTGATCAATCCAGAAGTTAAGGAGATGATAATGGAAAGCTTCAAGAAATCATCAGGCTACTTTGTTATGAAAACAGGAGACGGTATTTATGAGGTCCGTGATGCAATGGACACTGCATTTGCTGTTCATCTATGGGAGCAGTCTTGTACGTGTAGAGAGTTTCAGTTCCTCGGGATTCCTTGCGAGCATGAAATCGCAGCTGGTATCAGGGAGGGTGTTAGGGTGGAGACCCTGATTAATGTCCATTACACAGTTCATTAATCGTAGGCAAGCTTATGCAGGACTGATAATGCCGGTGCCCGACATGGACACATTGGAGCGTACCACAAGGGATTTCGGTGGTGTGAGAGTAGGACCTCCCAATGTTCGCCGCCCGCCAGGTCGTCCAAGGAAGAGTTGCATACTTTCAAGTGGTGAATTCAAAGTAAGTAAAATGTGTTGCCTGTTAACTAATTTGGTACATAATTATGTTATCCTTCATCTCTTCATATTGACATGGGTGTGATGTAAAAAAGCGTGTGGCAAGGCGTCGCTGTAGCAGATGCTGTGGGCGTGGACATAACAAGTCCACCTGTAAGGGGCTTATACCGGTACGATTCAATATCCAGACGTTAATTTGAAAAAGGTAGTTAGATGGAAAATATATGTACCGAAGAGAGTTTTAATATATTTCTTGTTAATGTTAACAGGACCCCTAGGATACGGAGGAAATACAAGATGCATAATGAATGTATAAAGTGGCAAGAACTTCATTCAGAATGATGGTGTAAAATACAGGCGTGAATGGAGTTCACCTATGTTCGTACTTGTGACCAAATTTTTCCTTGTTGACAGTGATCACCCAATTAACGTAGTTATGCAAACAATAACATTATCATCCGTAAACATAGTTGTAATAAATTTGTTACCGTAAATGTTTTGAAAAAAAGATATATGAAGCAGAATTAGCAGGAAATATGATCCAACAACGTTGCCATTCCATAAAGGAAGAAAAAAACAAAGTTAAACATAAGAAATCCCGAAGCCAATTCGTAGAAAAAACGAACAAGTACCGAGTTTACAGGCAACCAAACATACAACATAAATGTAACGGTAATCTGGTTGGCGGACTAACCAGATTGAGTTACACAGCATAGTGCCTGATTAAGGACACGATCATCTTCTTTGTCTCCGACTCCAACAGCAAAACACCGAACTGCCTGCAGCCTTCTAAACCGCCAACAGCGTGTGTCTGGAGCAGGAAAATGGAATACATACCAGAATCAAAGGGAGATGATATTTGATGAATTCCACTCACTCTTTCAATGGCAAAAGGTGATAACTCCACTTGGCTCATCCCCTCGTTGGCGCTAACCCCTTTGAAAAGGTAAGGGAGCATTTTTGCTATTCGTTGAAGCTCATTGGTAAGTCGGTTGTCGTTCAGCAAAGCAACATTGCAGTCCAAAATTTGGATCCTTTTGCCTTTCAGGTCGACAGCAAGCGTGACCCAGTGACGCTGGTCAAAGTTAAAAGGCATGTAAACGAATTCGGCTTCTTCATAGAGCTGAACACGATCAGAATCGTCTTCGCCGTTTATCATGCCTACGACGGCCTTGGGGAAAACAAATGAACCTTGATCTTCGGTTTTTGAGAACCTTGGGAATAAGTTCGTTAGCTGGACAACAAACTCCGTGTCAAGTAGGTCAACCCTCAAGCCCACACCATCCGCCATGTCCACTCTCAACATGTGGCGAGAGAACTGGATCAGGCCGTCCATGACCTGCTCCATCACATGAACAGTACATTCAGATCACATAAAGAAGCTTAAAAAAAACAGTAAAGAAATATGGTTACCTTTGCGGGAATATTCTTCTTCCTCTCGAGTAGATCATTGAAGTCTTTGGCCGACAACATAACGAGATTTACCCGGTTAAGTTACCTGTAAACAAAAGGCGAAACCGAAAGTTATGTAAAGAGAAGTTAAGACAATTATCGTGATAAGTAAAATAGCTCATATACCTTTTAACGGTTCCAATGGCAACTCGGACCTTCTCATCCAATTTCCTCGCTTTTGTGACTTCTACCTCTGTTTCTTGACCGATCAAGATCGTCAATCTTTTGTCGCATTGGTAACGGTCGTCAATCCTCGACGAGACAACACGTGGCCGTTTGCTTTTCCTAGTGTGTTCATTAACTGCCTCACTCATCAGTCCTGGGAGAGGTATGGCTTCTCTGCCACCAGCAACCTAGAGAAGGAGATAGGTTGTGTGTATTAGACGAAACGCATATGCGATAACATATATTAGCTGGTAAGTTTGTTTCCTCGATAACTTCTTCTTCGTGATGCGTTTCTACCTCTTCAGGCGGCTAAATTAAAAAGAAAAATGAAGATCGCTAAAAAATAAAAACATAAACAAATGATAAATCCACATAGTAAAACGAGGCAGAAGTGAACCTGATAAACCACCATTGCCCAACAATTCAGACCAGGGTCAGCCACGGAGTCTTCAAATAGATTGGACTGGGTAATCGGATTCTCCCCTTGTTCCCTGTTGCCTTCATTCATCGGCTCGGCATTCTGATACGGCTGGAGACAACAATACAAATACAGTTGACATCGTGTTGCATAAGCGCACGACAATAAACATAACGTATACCTAAGCTAACTGCAAACTTACTGAATCAATATCTGTTTGCTTGCTCGGCAGTTCATCAGATAACGTACTCAACCCTGCTCCCAACCCAGCAGTGACCTACGAAAGAAACGTTACAGTTAAAATAGATATGAAAATAAAAACAAAGCTTCTCCTTTCCCCTCTACCTCAATGGCATCAGCTTTCTTTGATTTGGACAACAACTTCTGCTAGCAGGGCTCAACTTCGGGCTGCACCTAGTTCGAATAACCGATTAGAAAGTTATAGTGGTATAAGTGATAACTAAAATAACTGCTAATTAACCAAACCACCAACCATCATTTGGCACAGAGGTTCATCAGAGAGTGGGTTCACCCGCGCCTCCACCCCGAGAGATACCTAAACACATCATCGTAAGATCTTAACCAACTGTACCCACTAAAAACATTAGAGATGAAGCAAAAGGTTGCATATCGAATACGCAGGTACCCCAAACGCATGAGCTTTCTTGGAGCTTGGCAATGACTTCTGAGATGAGAGTGGCACTTCATCCTGCAGCGGAATCAAAGTTTTGAATGTTATCAACTAGGCTTATGCAACGAAGATGATAACCAGGTGTTTTTTTCATTACCAATAATTCGTCCTGAACATAATAAGCGGTGATCTCATCAACCGAAAGTGATCCTGACTGCAGAGGAGAAGATGGATTCCGCGTACTGGGATAGTCATCGCAGGCAGTGTGGAGCGGCTGGTCAGTATCTTCGTTACATTGATTAGATTCCTTTGGCTGGCCATCGTCGAGAACGCCTTTGCTAGTAACAACTGTGTTTGCAACACCTGCAACCACCGTGGGAGTTTCTATTCGCTCGCCATGCTCTCCAGCTTGAGTTGTTTGGTTTGGCTGTTTGTGACCGTTCCCATTGTCTGGTATTCCTGCATTGTTGTCCTTAGCCGCGTTTTCAGCACTCTCCCCTCCAGAACTTGATTGTTGCGTAGTTGACTGAGATATAACTCTTTCCTCGACAACAGTATTATCGGTAAACCATTTTGTCAACGCCTGAATAAGCACCTTGTTGTTCTCTTGAAGAATACCACAAAAGTTCTCCTGCTGTATTATATCATGCTCCGACAGTTTTGCATCAATCAGTTCTAATAGCCTGCTTTCTTCAGTGCTTGAAGCAGAAGGCGCAGTTCGTTTTGATGGGGGGTTGACGTTGAAGGCGCGGTGTGTTTTTCTTTACTCTTACGGTTCTTTCCAGGAACACTCCGCCGAATGATACCTCGCCTCTTCTTATCTTTGCCAGCTATTTGAGATGGAATCCTGCCTCCAACAAACATATCGTCTTCGAACTTGAACTCCTGTGAAATGAGTTTGAGCATGTTATCCACCACGGGGTCAACATGATCATATTCCCAACTCAGATCTTCTTCCTCCGGATCGAACACAATCTCGGGACGAATAATACTATTGACAGGATCCTGAAAAAATGAAATACAATCAACTTAGTTAACTGGAAATGATAATCTGCGTTTAGGACATAATTATCACGAAAAATTTCCACAAACTCAAAAACAAACTACTTCAAAACATGATCCAGATAGAGGTGGCTGTCGATACAGTTGGCATCTACATGTGTTTACAGGTACATTTATCAGATAATTACGAGCCTTCGCGGTTAGATAGGTAACCAATTAAACAACACAACAGATCGATGATAGGTTTGCTTACATGTACTAGGTGTCAAAGTTAGCTAATCATATATAGTTAGCTAGTTAACTACGTTATATGGTTATCTAGTCAACTTCATTAGATAAAGCTAATATGCAAACCGATATCCGAGATAACAATACATGGAATTAACCATATAACTAACATATTTCGAATTATACCTCGCAAGCCTCATCTATATCTCGAGCACGCGATAATAGAAACAACCCAAAGGTCCCCGACCAAGCCGGCATAGTGGGAATGTCGAGCAATTTACCAAGAGGCGATTCGCGGATAAATTTGATTTCTTCATCATCCAAAGCCGATACAAGATCTTGAATAATGCTGAATTTCTGATACGTAATAACCCTCTGCCCCCAAGGCTCAGCTCCAGCAGCTATCATTCTCTTTGGTAATTCGGTGTCAGAAATCTGCCACCATAAAATCAAAAATGACCCAGCTGTTACAAAACAACGAAAGCAGTAAAGAGCAAGATTGGAGATTACCTTGTTCTCGGGAATCAGGGGCCAGCTACAACAACATGCAAAGTCTTCGCGGTGCCTGAAGAAACAACGCTTCTCGGTTCGGATGTTCGATATGAAGTGAAATCAGAAAAAGTTTCCGCCAAATAAACCCTAGAGACTTACGTTTTTCCCCCTCTAAATGAAATAATTAAAAACAAAAATAGGAAATCAGATAAAATTGGATATGGTTGTCGGGTCTACTGACACACGCAACCTGATGGCGGGGCCCAAGGAGAAATGTAATCATACATAGAGAGGGGTTCAATTGTCTTTACTCGCGTGAACAGAGATTGTGCACAGTGTCGCTTTCGAGCGGCTTAATTTCTAAATTTTCTGATGGTAGATTGTTCAATTTCTCTAAAATATTCACTAAAAACCTTTAATGGGGTTTTGGCAATAACCATGTTCTTAGACACTTTGTTTAATACATCCAAAAACAGCCCTGGATCCAAATGGAATGATAGGCTTTTTTTTTTGCAGTATTACATTATAAAAACGGATCTCGTAGCTTTAATTAATATTATTATAAGGACAAAGTCTTTTGATCAAAGATTAATATGATCGGGACGGGGGTCCCAAAAAACACTAGTTTTTTTTTATGTGTATAGACTTTTTGGTTGGAATGTACGAGGCTTCAATATTAGCCGTTATTGTACCGGATTCAAAAAATGGATTAAGCAGAAAAAACTGATTTTTAATAGTTTACTTGAGACTCATGTGAAGATCCCAAAGTAGAGGAAGTTCATCTCCAATATTCTTCCTGGCAAGCTGTATGAAGATATTTATTTCTTTTCGAAATTAGGAAAAGTATGGGTCCTTTGTCACCCTAGCGTGAATGTGACTACTATTTCTAAGTCGTTGAAAATGGTGGCTTGTGAGGTTAAGCGGTCTGATTTTCAGAATGTGTTTGTTGTGGCTTTTGTTTATGCTCAAATGTTGGGGAGCAAAGAAAGCAGCTTTGGGTTGAGATTGTGCTCCTATCAACTAACCCCTTGGTCATAGGTAAGCCTAGGGTTATTCTTGGTGATTTCAACCAGGTCTTAAATCCAAATGAGCACTCTTTGGCTGCAAGTTCAAATGTTGACAGACAGATGATGCGAGCTAGAACGGGGTTGGTTTTTACTAAGCTTCAAGTTCTAAATTTATAACCTCAAAATGTCTGCAAGTGCCCAGATTTGCGATGTAGTACTTAGAGTATCGATCCACAAAGACTTAGGATTTTCGGTACGAATTCAAGTAAATGTTTAAATCAAGCTAGAACTAAAGGAATTAGATTTTGGTTTTTAGGTGTCACTAAATGTAAACTAGAAAGCAAGTAAAAAGCAATTGAAACTAAGGTTGTAAACTATGAACAACAAACGCTGGGCTTAAGGGTATTCGCAGGGATTCATGGACTAAACCTATGATAAAAATAAAAGATAAAAGTAATCAACTACGGTTTATTCTAGAATACGAGCACGGAGGTAAAACTAGCCTACTTTCGCAGCACTAACCAACTGCCAATCACGACCCTGACCAGTAGCTTTCAACTCTGGCCCCGGTAACCATTGTACGTAATAGCTTGAACAAGACTAATCTACATTCATGATTCACCCATAGGTAGTTTTTGTTTCCTATGGCAGAATCGTTCGTTTCACTCTAGAACAGTTAGAAAATGAAAACATTCGCAACACTATGTATATATTTCGAATTCTAAGTGGTCAACAGAGAATCACACTGTAAGAATAAGAGTAAACAAAGAACACCTAGAGGATTATAAACCCTAAATCTAACAATTCATAGAAAAAGACACATGAAATTCCCTTTGAAAAATTTCTTTAAACCCAACTGTGAAACTACTCAAACGTATTGTAACAAACCATCATAAGGTATTTAAATTTGCTGGAAATTAAATAGAACAAGGGAGAATAATGAAAAATATAGGTGAAGATGGAGGATCAATGGTGCTCTCCTCAGTGGCTCCTATTCAAAGACGGCTTCTCTCTAACCTTGTATAAAAATCGAGCATACCTTTAGAATGACCTAGAAGAGGTTTTTATAGCTTTTGGAGTTGTCTTGGACGCCTAGGGTTTCGATCATAAGTGATGGGATTGACTTGGGCTTGATTTGGGTCTCTCGGGCTATAAAACATGTCTGGCCGCGGTCGTGGTAGTCCTGGCCGTGGGGAATCATAGTCTGGCAGCGGTTGCGGCCTCAGCTCTGCTCTGGGACTGCAACATCTGTCTTAAGTGCATCTGGAATATCTGAAGATCTAACTGTTTTATTGTCTCCAAACCAATTGAATTAGAAAGCTGATTGTCTCCTCTATGTTGTCTCAAATTTTGGAGATAGCGTAGAAACACACTGGTCTAAATCATCATAGTATTGTTTTCTGTGTCCCTGATTTAAAAACTTTTTGAAAAAAATTTTGAAAAATTTTATGCATCCAAAACAAACTAAAAACAAATCAAATTTTATTAGTAACGGATGAACATCCTCCCCCAGACTTATTTTACATTTTCCTCAGTGTGGTAAAACTATGAGATGACTGTAAAGAAAGAATACAAAATTGAAGTGTTTAAATGTACTTACCTTGCCGGAGAATATCGTTCGTAAAAACGATGGTACTGCAGGCATAAAAGACATGACCGCTGGTTGAAAATTCTTGACCGTGGTTGAAGAGGAATATTCCACGGCTGGTCTCTACGTGATCGCAGTGATTGCTTCTTCTCCGGTTTATGATCCTTGCTTGTCTTTTATTCGTTCTTCTTTGTAAAAACCTGAAATTCAATGAAACAAAAACAAAGCAACAAAAAGAGAAAATAATGGCCAAATGGAAATAAATAAAATACCGAGTGGGTTCCCTCTCACGAAGCGCTTATTTCAAGTCGTTAGCTTGACATTGTTGATTGATCAGGCTGATGGTGGGTCAATCAAAACCATCACTTTGTCTCACGTCTTCTTCCTCTATGGCGAGATATGGCTTGACACGCTGTCCATTTAGTGTGAATGAATCTCCATTTTTTCCCCATAGGACAGTGGCTATGTATGGCTTAACTTCCTTTATCGTGAAGGGTCTGAACCATATAGAACGTAATTTACCTGGAAAAGCTTAAGACGAGAATTGAAAAGAAGGAGTTTATCGTTAGTAGCAAAAGATCGATGAACAATCTTCTTATCATGATATGTTTTAGTCTTCTCTTTGTATATCTTCAAGTTCTCGTAGGCAATGTCGGAATTCTTCTAACTTGTGCAGTTGGAGTAACTTTCTTTCTCCAGCTGTTTTTAAGTTCGTATTCATCTCCTTGATAGTCCACTGTGCTTTATACTCGAGGAAGGTGACATGTTTTTCTGTAAACTAGATAGAATGGTGTCATTCCTAATGGCGTCTTAAATGCTTTCTGGTACGTCCAAAGTGCATCGTCAAGCTTGGTTGACCAATCCTTGTGATTCACTGTGGTTGTATTCTGCAATATCGACTTGATTTCTCTGTTTGAGCTTTCTATTTGAGCCCTAGTTTGGGGATGATATAGAGAAGAGAATTTATGCATAACTCCATTCTTTCTTATAAGATTTTTGAAAACTCTGTTGATGAAGTGCGAACCTCCATCGCTTATTACTATTCTAGGAACTCCAAAACGTGGAAAGATGATCGATTTAAATAGATTAATAACAACCTTTGCATCATTGGTGGAGCTAGCGACTGCTTCAACCCACTTAGAGACATAGTCTACGCCTACTAAGATGTGTTGATTTTCGAAAGAAGTCAAGAATGGTCCCATAAAATCAATTCTCCAAATATCAAAAATTTTGACTTCAAGAATGAAGTTGTGAGGCATCTCATTCTTTTTGCTTATATTGCCCATTCGTTGACATGAAATCACATCGTGAGATGTAGGCTTTTGTATCCTTGAACATAGTACGCCACCAAAAACCTACTAGTAAGATCTTAGAAACAGTTTTGAATGTTGCAAATGACATACGTAAGACGAGCCATGGCATCAGAATAATAATCCTGCCATCTCATCTTCTGCCGCGCATCTTCAAAATAAACCATCAGCACATCTTTTGTAGAAGTCTGGTTTATCCCAAGAATAATGTCTTACGTCTCGTAAAAACCTTTTCTTCCTATATCCAAAGAATTGTGGTGTGATAACACCGTATTTTGACTACTTTTATGGATCATAATGTCTTATGCAGGTGTTTTAACTCTGTTTTCAATAGTTTTTAAATTTTTTTCAATGTTTTAGAGTTTCAAAAGACTTTTCAGGAAACTTGGGCAAAAGATATGCAAATTGGAACAAATGAGCAATTTTGGATAAATGCAGACCGTCAGAAGTATGTCAAGCAATGAAGATTTTATCACTGTCTGATCACCCCCAAAATCTGTGACAACATAATGGATACAACCATCTTTCTAATGCACTTGGTTTGGAGACAATCCAAGGGTTAGATCTTCAGATACACCGGATGCAATAAAACAGAAAATGCAGTTCTGGAAGAGAGCATCAGCCGGGACCGTGGCCAAGCCTCATTTCTCGTGGGTAGAAGCACCGCGACCGAGGCCAGTAGTCGTTCACTTCCCAGACGACCTAATTAAAGACCAAGCGATTCCCTTTATTATTTTTGAAGCTCTAAGTGTCCAGGAAAACTCCAGAAGCTATAAATACCCTCTTTAGGTCATTCTAAAGGGAAAGGATCAAAGGAGAGACAAACTTAGAGAGAGAGATAGAGATTTTCGTGTGAGAAACCCTAGGAGGCCGCCACCTTTGAATGAGGAGCCGTTGAGGAGAGCATCATTGCGCCTCCATCTGCGATTCCATTCTTCGTTCTTCTTCCCTGTTTTCTTTAATTTCCTGCAATTTTCAATACTCTATGATGCTTTACTACAATATGTTTGAGTAGTTTCTCCAGTTGGGTTTAAAGGGATTTTTCGAAGGGAATTTTGTGTTACTTCTTCTATTAATCGATAGATTTAGGATCTATAATCTTCTAGATGTTCTTCGTTTGCCTGTGATTTTACTGTGTGATTCTTTGCTGGCCACTTAGAAGCCGATCTGATATGATATGTTGCAAAAGCTTTCATTGATTGTCTGAACTAGGGTGAAACGAGCAATGATTCTATAGGAGTGGAAACCTACCTATAGTTGAGTTGTGAATGTTGATGAGTCTTGTTCTGTTATTGCATTTACTCCCTTCCAGGATCAGAGTGGAAACCTACTGATCAGGGTTGCGAGAGATAGTTGTTTAGTGCTGCGAAAGTAGGCTGTTCATACTTCCGTGTCTCGAGTTCTAGAACATACGTAGGTTATTACCTTTATCATTTATTTAAATTCCACATAGGTTTAGTCCATGAATCCCTGCGATACCCTTGAGCCCAGCGTTTGTTTTTCATTGTTTACAACCTTCGATTTTATTTGCTTTTGATTCGATTTTTACTTGCCTTCATTTGCTTTCGTTTTTCAATTGCTTTTACTTGCTTTTTAGTTTAGATTTAGTGACAACCAAAACCCAAAACCAAAATCCAAACCTGTTTAGTTCTAATCTGATTTAAGCATTGGCGTGAATTCGTACTGAAACAACTAAGTCTAAGTGGATCGATACCCTAAGTACTACAGCGCACATCTGAGCACCTGCAGACATTTAGGGGTTATAAATTTAAAACCTGAAGCTTAGTAAAACCGACCAACCCTGTTTAAACCCCGTTTACAACAGCACCAAGTTTTTGGCGCCGTTGCCGGGGACTTTTGATTTGTTTTGTTGCGAATCCCAGATTAAATCCATTAGAACACTTGTTTACTTTTACTTTTTCAGGTTTCTCTACAATGGGAGACCCGAAACATGTTTTCGGGACTCTTGGTGATCCACCATATCGTGTGGATGGTGATGCAAGCGACGATGACCTGACTGATGATGAGTTTGAAGAACCGAACTATGATGACAATGAGCTAATCGGATCGGCAAAACATGAAGATGATGAACTGATTGAAATTTTTGATTCACTCGAGAAGTTCATGGGAGATCAAAGAGCTATTTAACCAGCCTTACCAGAGGATGACAAAACCGAAATTAAGGTACCCTATATCCACTTCGGTCAACAAAATCAATTCTATGGTTATTCATCCGAACACCCAATGGACCATATCGTGACGTTCGAAGAATTATGTGCAACCATTACAGCAAATGGGGATTACCACAAGTGTAGTATTTTCCCATTCTCTTTGAGAGACAATGCCAGCAAATGGCTAAAATCTTTAGAACCTGCTTCACTAAAAACGTGGACAGCGTGTAGAAAGGCTTTCCTAAATCGTTTTTACACTAGAAATCGTTCCAATCTCTTAAGGAACACGATACGAACTTTAAACAAAAAGAAGATGAAGATCTTTTAGATACTCGGGAGAGATTTAGGGAATACCAAAGAGATTGTCCACATCACGGATATACCGACGAATACCTGATGGGTATCTTCTATTGAGACATAAATCTAGAGTTACAACACTCTTTCGACACAGCAAGTAATGCAGACTTCTCAACTAGATCTGTAGAAGATGCTCGTAATCAAGCAACGTTTGGAAATTATGCACTTCCTGAGAAGAAAGAAGAGATTTCGGAAGTCATAAAGTGTCTCCATCACATAATGAGTCAAATTGGATTGCAACAACCGAACAAGACAAAAAATACGTGTAATTTTGATGATTGGAACAACCCAATGGATTCTTATGATCAAGAGATGATGAACACTGCAGAAGTCTATCAAATTCAAGATTTTCCCTTCGTACCTGATCACCGCGGGTCCATCCTTTTGGATCGCGGGAAACCATGGTTTCAGCACGGTCGTGTTTCACCGGACCGCGGCCAAGACCCATTTTGCCACAGTCACGAGCTTTACGACCGCGGTAAACCGTCTTCCGAACCAATCATGGCTGTTCAATCTGATCCAATCACCTATCCTAGTTTTCCCTCTTCTGAAGCTGAAAACCTAAACAAAAGAATTATAGAGCTTGAAAAAACTAATTAAAGCCCAAGTCGATTCCCTTTATTATTTTTGAAGCCCTAAGTGTCCAGGACAACTCCAAAAGCTATAAATACCCTCTTTAAGTCATTCTAAAGGGAGAGGATCGAAAGAGAGACAAACTTAGAGAGAGAGATAGAGATTTTCGTGTGAGAAACCCTAGGAGGCCGCCGCCTTTGAAGGAGGAGCTGTCGAGGAGAGCATCATCGCGCCTCCATCTGCGATTCCGTTCTTCATTCTTCTTCCCTGTTTTCTTTAATTTCCTGCAATTTTCAATATTCTATGATGCTTTGTTACAATATGTTTCAGTAGTTTCCCCAGTTGGATTTAAAGGGATTTTTCAAAGGGAATTTTGTGTGTCTTCTTCTATGAATTGATAGATTTAGGATTTATAATTTTCTATCTTTTCTTGGTTTGCCTTTGATTTTACTGCATGATTCTTTGCTGGCCACTTAGAAGCCGATCTGATATGATATGTTGCGAAAGCTTTCATTGATTGTCTGAAATAGGGTGAAACGAGCCATGATTCTTAGGAGTGGAAACCTACCTATAGTTGAGTTGTGAATGTTGATGAGTCTACTCACTTCCAGGATCAGAGTGGAAACCTACTGATCAGGGTTGCGAGAGATAGTTGTTTAGTGCTGCGAAAGTAGTGCTGCTCAGTATCACATCAATAAGTGACGGGATTGACTTGAGCTTTATTTGGGTCTCTCGGGCCATAAAACATGTCTAGCTGCGGTCGTGGCCTCAGCTCTGCTCTAGGACTACATCATATATCTTTTGTCCATTGGGAATATCTGAAGATCTAACCGTTGGATTGTCTCCAAACCAATTGCATTAGATAGCTGGTAGTCTACTCTATGTTGTCTCAAATTTTGGGGATGATCGGATGGTGGGAAGATATTCATCTCTTGCCATACTTCTGATAGTCTGAATTTATCCAAAATTGTTCATTTGCTCCAAATTGCACTTCTTTAGTCTAAGTTTCCAAAAAAGTATTTTAAAACTCTGAAACATGGATATCACTTAAAAATATTTGAAAACAGAGTTAAAATATTGGCATAAGACTTTGAATCAATCCATAAAAGTGGTCAAAATATGGTGTTATCAACAAACGCAGGAGTTTAGAGATTGCCTTCTTGATGCTTCAGATACGGATTTAACGTTCAGGGGATGTTCTTTTACCTGGTTGAATAAGATAAGGGTGATTCCAAGTGCAAAGAAGCTTGACACGATTCTTGTAAAAGACCTGTGGGATTTTCAATTCCCCTTGGCATATGGCATTTTTGGTGAGCCAGATTTCTCAGACCACTCTTCTGCACGTATTGTTCTGAACCCACTGCAGTAGTGGCTGAAGAAGCCTTTCAAGTCCTTTATTGCTTTCTCCAAAATGTTGAGTCCAAAATGTTGATTTTGTTCTTTGGGTTTGTTATCATTGGTATTCCCTTAACACGGTGGGATCTGCTATGTTCTGAGTTTCTCACAAGCTCAAGGCTCTTAAGAATCCTATTATAAACTTTTGCAAATCTAATTACTCTAACTTGGAAAAGAGAACTGGGGAAGCACATGAAACTCTAATCAGGATACAGAGTGAGCTGTTTTCGGATCCTTCTCCTAGTAATGCGGACCGGGAGTTTGAGGCAAACAGAAAGTGGCAGATTTTGGTTAGAACTGAAGAGAGGACATTACCGCATCCCTGGGTTATGAATGTTCAGCCGTGCAGAGAGGTAGCCTGGAGAAAGATTTCTCGGCCCTAGAGATCAAAAACGCCTTTTTCTCCCTTCCTAGTGATATGTTCACAACTTGCATCATTTATATTGCATTTTAGAGTCCAAATCATGTCTTATCTCATGCATTTTAGGTCCTTAAGCATTGATTTAGACCTTAGGTTTTGCATTAGGTCCCAATGAGTCTTTGCATGGTTTGGAGTCTTTATCAGGTGCTTTTGAGGATGTTTGGAGCAGAAGATATTTGATCCAGAGTTGAAACGGTGAAGAAAAAGGTCAAAAATGGTGAAAATGGCTTAAAGGAATTTCTTGGCAAAAACATGTACTGGATGGATCAGTTTTCTCGGCCAAAAATGCTATCGGGTGAATTTCTCTCGACCAAAGTCAGTATTGGGTGAAGACGCTATCGGGTGAAATTTTATGCTGAGACGGTGATTATTTCTCAGCTAAAAAGCTTACCGCAGGAAGGATTTCTCGGTTAAAATCTGTTTGCACCAGCGCACATCAAATATTGCCAATCCGGAGCTTCCGGTCCGAATCAGTTGTCGGGATCTTCATCCAAGTGAGATGATCGAGTCAGGGTTCCAGAACAGTTGGAATTACTGAATTCGAAGCAGTGAGCAAAGACTTAAGTTCACCTTTAGACACACCTGTCTCGCATGCATTTTAAGCCTATCCAATGAACTTCAAAGATTACATGGGACGATTCCTTTCCAGTCCGATTCAGTCTCCGGTGCCTTCATCAAGATTCAAGGTCTTTGAGTTTTCTTTCTAGAAAACCTGAGATCATCCGATTTGGAAATGTGGCTTGAGAGATATCGTCACCGGAGTGAACACGGGTCCAGGAGCTGTTTTCTTACCATTCCAATGCGATGCAAAGATGAGCGGTCCGAGGAGCCTTCCACTTCCTAAGTGCCAATGTTTTCTGCATAAAAGTTTGAGATGAATGAGTGATCTTTCTTGTGGAGTTGGTTTCAAGTCGTTTGGAGTTATGTGCTGAAAGTTATTGCGATCAGGATACAAGCGGGTCGATACAAGCTTCAACAGTTGCAATTTGTTCTAAGTATTTTAGCAGGCATCAGTGTCGTTCCCTCGACATTGCCTAAGCCGAGGCCTAGTCTCCGAACTTTTGGTCCAGACCTCGTGCTAACCCCTCGGTGTATCAAGACCAAGGCACACATGCTAAAGAAATGGAGCTGAAAATTACTAAGTGTTGAAGTTGAGCATCTATGCGACTTGGCTTGAGATTTGTAAGTGTGAAACTAGACCTCGGCTTCAACCCCTCGGCATTGCACGTTGGACCCCATCTTCCTTGTCCCCTCGACCAAAGCCCCTTGGTGTACACACACCGAGGTGAATCTCACCAAAGCAAAGTGCTCAAAGCCTCAAGCGAAGTCCACGGCTTGCCTATACCATGGTGCAAGGTTGTCGGATGAAAGCATCAAGACCTCGACCTGACCCCACGGTGTATCTATGCCGAGGTCCCTTGCCACAAACCCAGATCAAGAACAAAGCCGTTCTAACGGGTGCACGAGAAGATGAATCAAAGACTAGGGTTCATGCAGGTTCTTGGTGGGTTCTTCATGAGTTCTTGGTGAATCCTTCATATTTGACTCAGCAATACTGAGCCCCTCGACATCAATCCCTCGGCTTCAGTCTCTCACTCACCAAGGTGTCCACCCAACGATCCAACAAAACCGGTTCAGTACCCGGTTTGTTCCGGGCTGACCCGCATCACTTAGCTTTACTATATATAGTTTTAAGGACTAAAACCCTACTTATCTTATCTCTTATCTTATCCTTGAGAACTTGCCTCTTTGGTGAAAACTTGTCTCTTTAATCAGATATCTCGTTTTTTAATCAAATATCTTGTTCTTTTAATTTCTTTCCATCATTTTAAAGCTTCTAATCATGTCTAGCATCACTTCTTGCAAAAGATTAAGTGTGCTCTTCATGATTAGTGAGTAGTTTCGCTATTAAGGTCTTAGATAGGTAGATTAGGGTGCTGAAATGCTAGATTAGCGAGTTTAGGTTCTAGATCTGCATCATTCATTCTCTAACAAACCGGTCTCTATGTTAGATCCTTGAACATCACATGTGGTCTAGATCAAAGATATATTCTCGCATCAAAAGTGTTTGTAGAAATGTCTGAACCAAGTTTGTTAGAGGTTTAAGAGTCTTTCTTCATGATAATGATAGTTTGTTCTCTTAAATGACTTATTGAACTGATTTTTAATGCTTGCTGATTCATGCTTCTCAAAAGGGATTTTGGTATGAAAGAGGATTAGCATAGAAGTTTAATGCCTTCATGAGAGGATTATTCTATTTAATGAGTTCATGTTAAATGAAGCTGCTTGATCATTGGTTCATTAACTTGCTGTTTAGTGTGGAAAGCACCCTAGTTCATTATCCTACCTAAGACCTTTGCCTCATCATTCCATTCACAACCGCTTATCTCTCTTGCTTACTTATATGCTTATTTGCATCTGTCTTTAGTTTAAATTCTTATCTTCGTTCATTTTCTTGCTTTTTAAGTAGTCTACACACCAAAACCATTTCTAGTTTGACTTGACTTAATATTCCAAAACCCAAAACCAAAATCCAAACCTGTTTAGTTCTAATCCGATTTAAGCATTGGCGTGAATTCGTACTGAAACAACTAAGTCTAAGTGGATCGATACCCTAAGTACTACAGCGCACATCTGTGCACTTGCAGACATTTAGGGGTTATAAATTTAAAATCTGAAGCTTAGTAAAACCGACCAACCCCGTTTAAACCCCGTTTACAACAGCATCAATTTTTTGGCGCCGTTGCCGGGGACTTTTGATTTGTTTTGTTGCGAATCCCAGATTAAATCCATTAGAACACTTGTTTACTTTTACTTTTTCTTTTGAATTTTTTCAGGTTTCTCTACAATGGGAGACCCGAAACATGTTTTCGGGACTCTTGGTGATCCACCATATCGTGTGGATGGTGATGCAAGCGACGATGACCTGACTGATGATGAGTTTGAAGAACCGAACTATGATGACAATGAGCTAATCGGATCGGCAAAACATGAAGATGATGAACTGATTGAAATTTTTGATTCACTCGAGAAGTTCATGGGAGATCAAAGAGCTATTT